CGTAAGACCTTTGTTCATCTTCGGAACACAAATTAAGATATTTTTGATGGAATCTGAGAGCTCTCTGACCCTCCGTAGACCGCAAGTATATTATCACGATCAACGCACAGAAACGTAGCAAGGACATCAGTAAAATAGTCCATGTGACATCGGGTTCAACCGTAATTTTACGAAGCTACGAGAATACTTTTTGTGCGCAAAGAAAACGATAATAATTTATTCAGCAATTCTTCTCCCTGAGTTACCGTCTTCCACCATTTTGGAGAGTACGCCAGAACGTAATCAGCGTTGGTCATGTTCAGCATGCGCGTGCTGTCTCCTGAACATAAACAACGCTGATTACGTTCTGGGGTACTCTCCAAAATGGCGGAAGACGGAGAGGAATTGTTGAATAAAGTCATTATTTTTTGTTTTCTTTGCGCACAAAGTATTCTCATAGCCTCGTAAAATTACGGTTGAACCCCTGATGTCACATGGACTATTTTACTGATGTCCTTGCTACGTTTCTGTGCGTTGATCTTGGTAACGTTCTTGCTGACTATGGAGGCTCAGAGAGCTCTCAGATTCCATCAAAAACATATTAATTTGTGTTCCAAAATGAACGAAGGTCTTACGGGTTTGGAACGACATGAGGGTGAGTAATTAATGACAGAATTTTCATTTTTTGGGTGAACTATCCCTTTAAATGTTTCACTACGTCCATCTTACCTTGTTCTTTTTCAACATTAAAACTGACACTTTGTTATGGAATCTGAGCTCTGCTTCCGTCAACCCTAAACCCTGCCTACTTTGATTCGATTGGCCATCTCAATCATTTTTACACTGATGAGCGTCGTTAGACCTCTGAGGCAGACCAGCTTAAAAATGTAACTTTTAAACTTTTTTGTCAACCTAGCAACAAACTGGTGCATAATGGAGTGCAGCAGAGCAGCGCAATAATTTTTTTAATATTTGGAGGGGGGGGCAATTCAGCCATTTCTAAATATTCAGGGGGATTTCTCCCCCTCAGTGTCTATGGTGTTTATGGTCCTGTGTAAAATAGACACTTGCTAAATAAGTGTAAGGGCCCATTCACACCAAAGACAATAACTTTATATTTTTAATAATCAATCTAATTGAATGAGATTCGGAAAGTCCACACTAAAGCAATTACGACATAGAGAAACAATACCGCTGGAATCACTTTCAGAATGTTTTTTTTTTCTTTCTAGCTGATGAATGATAAAAACATTGACAGCCAATCAGAATCTAGAATCCACTTGTCTTAAAAGAGCTTGAGCATTTAAAGCAACAGAACTTCAGGGTGTGCTTCTAATCAAAAAGAATCGTCAGTAACACTTTCTATGAAGCCCATATTCATAATCCATTATAAGGGTATTATAATGAATGCATAATGCATTATAAAAAAAACTTATAATATGTTGTATCATCTCAAGAATAATCATAACAACAATTATAATACATTATAATACTTATGTATTTGTAGTTATAACTTTTAAGATTATGATTATTTATAACACACAATGAACACCATATTAAATATACTTCATATATATT